TCATGACTTAGAAATGTTTGCACACTCTGTATGGATAATTCTCATTTTAATTGATGAAAAAAAATATGTTTTAAAGGAAAATGTAATGTGTGTTTTGTAAATATCAAGGTAGTTCCGTATCAAACTTAATGATTTCCAAAGCACACGAATTTCTACACAATTTCATTTAGCCTTTCTTTCACAGTCCTCAGAATGAGCCACCGTCAAGGAACTCTCAAGACTGGAAAATTGTTATTAATAAAACTTCCGATGTAACAACACCGCTAGCCATCGTGTTTTCTCCATGCATTTTCACTCTGGACTATGTTGGTCTTCCTCCAACTCCTCCTCCTTGTTCTCTCCTCCTCTTCCTTCTTCTTCTTCTTCTTCGTTTCAAAAGTGGAGAAGTGGTCAGTTGCGGATCGCCGAATAAAGAGAGACGCGTTGCGCATATCAAGTGGCTAACCCATTTACCCCGGCGACTTATCCATCCCTTGCACTTACTAGTACTGTTGCCGTTTCACGGAAAAGAGGAGTAAGTGCATTCTGGAATGAATCGCTAGACAAATAAGAGCTTTTGCCAACCGTGGCCGAAAGAGAGATAATACTCGCAAAATTGATGTAATTTATCGCGGTTGTCTCCCTTGGAATGAATTATTTATGAGTAATTTAATTAGAGGGTCATTATAAGTATTGCGATAATTGCCACTGCCTTGCGCTTGGAGGAATTTCTAGAGTAAAATTGACCGTAACGCTGATCGAATATTAGAAAATACTTTCAGACGTAAAATGATAAAGACAATACGTTATATCACCTCCATGATATCAGTACCTATGACACTGATCTCACTAAATCTCCTCAAATTCGTGACCAAATTTTTCCCTCATTTTCCAATGAGTCATATTCTAAGAAAAAAGTAAACTTGATCCGAAATTGAAGAATCTCTTCACCAATACCATAGAGTGCACAGTAACGCTTAGTTAGAGTCGTCTAGTTACATTTGGACTGCATTTTGCAATTTGGAACTATAAATTCTGGCTCATCTGAAAAAAACACTTATGTGTATAGGGAAACTAATGGCACATACGTTGTTTTTAAACCAGGCTAGAGTTTATAGTTCCAAATTGCAAAATGCAGTCCATTTGTTCTTGGTTAGTCCTGGTCAGAGTCCAGTTAGACTCTTAGTTGACTCTGTTAGCGGCTGCTTTGGCTTATATACTTTTCCTCCCCTTTCTTTTATTAGGAATGTCAAACGATTTGAAACCCTGAGTGGGCGACTCTGTTCTTATTTGCTTATGTCTATTCTTATATCTTGTGAGGCGAGAAAACTTGCTACTAATTCCTGCTGGAGTAGTGAAAGATTGGCAACTAATTCATTCAGGGTCGTTTCAGTATCTTCTCCCACCATGATAAGGGCGATTCAATATTTTGGACTGGTGTATCTGTATCAAGGTGTACGATTTGCAAATATTTTACTTGATTGCCCGCTTGCGCTGCTTTTGTTTATCATCTTGGAAAGAACTTACGATAGAGAGCAGTTAAAATCTTTGGTGCTGACTTAATAACAGTGCTTTTATCGCTGGGCTTTTTAAGATTGCACTCGTTCTAAACGGTACTTGGTTATGTACAATGCAAATATCACCGATCGTAGTAAGTTATCCATGCAAACGAAATATTTTTGCGTTTCGACCGCAGTCCAAGCCATTCAATTAATGTAAATGAATTCAACGTGTTTTTCCGCAAATACACCGCATTGTTCCGTAAATATCGGGTGTAAATGCATTCATGCGTAACACTGAAGTTTAGAGGCTCCATCGCTGTAGGAAAAACGAGTAGCGATCGTTTTAATATTTTCATCTTCATTGACTCCTGATTTTATGCCCAAATAAAAGCCACTCATAAATCTCTGATTGATGAATCTGTAAGTTTGAAAATTATCAAACTCTCAGAAATTAAAAATCGCAAGAACGAAATAAAGGTTGGATTGGATATCTAATTATTGATAATTTTCAATGACTTGAAGATTGTTTCGTGCACGTTTTCCTACTTTACAGAGACCAATAGGCAAAATTACTACATTTCTCTCTTTTTCTGTTTCAAAAATTTTTAGCGATGGAAAACCGTAGAGATGGTTTGTTTTTAAACCAACCAAACTCTGTCACTAGAAATTTCATTCGAAGTCAAGCTTTTTTTCATACATATATACTTATGTCCATCCGTAAGCACTGCATTGCCGCCATAATTTTTTTTCCCTCTTCTTCTTTTCTTTTTTTTTCAGCCTCCACCAATACAACGTACGCATAATACATAACACGCGAAACAGCCGCTTCATCAGCTGCAAAAATTCTGAAACCGGTTCTCGCTTGCTTCAAAAGGAACCTCCTACCCAAAATTAAAGTACCCACCAGCCGCACATTTGGCCCTCAAAGTAGCACATCTGCCTGAGTTGCCAAATTTACCGCAACCTTCAACCGGTCTCATTCATTCACCGGAGGTAGATCTGCAAACTCGGGCGATGTGACAACAGCCACTGTCATTAGGATTATGTGTGTGTATTTGCGAGTTACACGCACTAATGGGACGCCATTGACGCGAGAAAATGCTGCGAGTTCATCAAAAGGCAGAAGAATTGCCTGATGTCGCGGTGTCGCTTCGACTGATGAATGATGCATCGGTGAAGTTCAATGGCTCGCTACCGCGAGGGATCAAATGGATGTATTTCTGCCAAACGGAACTATGTGCATTAAGACATGAGCCCTGAGACTCTTAAGAATATATGCATAACAGGGCTCACGTCATAACACACATAGTTCCGTTTGCCAGAAATACGTCCGAATAATGAACAGCAATATAAATGCCACCAGCTATTGTCAGATTTTACTGGGATGTATAGTCGCGACTCTGACGTAAGGCATATCCCGAATTCCACGTGAGCCTTGTTGTACGTATGAGTCCATACTTTCTGTGGCTCATGTGAAAATATGGATTCGCCCTCACGTCAGAGATGCGACGATAAGTCTTCTCACACGCGAGGCGAAAATAATAGAATGGTGCGTGGTTCTTTTCTGCAATGATAAACTCATTATTTCTTCGAATAGTAGTAAATGAAATCGAGAATTGCGTTTCTCTACGGCAACTTTTAAAAATATTTGCTTGATTTTTACTGTGTTTAGGTGATTCGATGGAGGCCATATTTTGTGTCAAAACGACATGCGATGTATCGCATCGATTAGTTCCATTTACTCAGCTACTCGTCATTTTTCTCGAATTTTGAGATCTCAATTCTGTTGTCAGGAGACTGAAGAACTCACTAACCCACTTTGACGAACAAATTCAACGTAATATAGGCGTGGTTTTTTAGGGGGAAAATATTGCATTCGAGTGCAGTCTCGATATCAGTATCGAATGCGATAATTTTCCCCTAAGAAAAACACGGCTTAATTAAGTTGAATTTGTTTGTCAAAATTAGTTAGTTAATTCTTTAGTCTCCTGACAACAGAATTGCGATCTCAAAATTCGAAAAACATGACAAGTAGCTGAGAAAATGGAACTAATCGATGCGATGTATCGCATGTGGTTCTAACACAAAATATTACGTCTATCGAATCACCTAAATAGTAAACTGGTTACGTTAGCCGAAAGCTCTGTGTATATGAACCAAAATTCGATTTTGAGGACTGAAATTTTTTAACCGTGGCGTGGAATGTTGAGGAGCAAATATTTCTCCTCTGTTTGAATTCTAACATCCAGTCTAGCAGTGATCCATTTCCGCACAGTCGTAAATTGAAATGCGTGTTTTATATTTTCATCGCGAATGAGTGAGGAGGGTGTCCCTGTCTCTCGAACGGTGGAAATATGAACTCACTCGAAAGGGAGTTTCTCATTCCTCGTAACCGGGTCTGGCGCGGCTGCATCGTCGGAATTTTGTGCACTTTTCGTTGAATAATTTATTTTTTAATCCGTGTGCAAGACCGTTTTGTTACTCGCTTACTACGTAATCTCACGGTGCTTCACTCTAATTCCATTCCTGTATTCGACTTGACACGAGATTGAGAATTCGGAACAGTCATACGTAGTTTTATCGCTCGTGCACGATGCATAATAGATGAAGTCATCTTTTCATTTGACTCTGAACGGTGAACCCTTATTCCCTTCGTTTATTTCTTGCTTAGATTTAGACCTTGGCACACACAATGTCATTTTCCGACTGAAAATTTAAGGGAAGCTGAATTGACACCAATTTTACATTACACCCTCTTCGGAAACCGAGATTCGTAATTTCACCAACAACCCAGTGCTGCCATTTCCCGGAAGTAAATCCGAATTCCGAAATTATCGCAATTTCTCGGAACCTTCGGCGTTCCCGCAATATCCAGCTATTCCTGGGATTTTCTCGGAATTTTAGGGTTTTTCTATCAGTTTGACCGATCATTTGATCAAATTTTATTATTTTTTTTTATCGAATTTTAAGATTCTCGGGACTAATTCGGGCGTATCTCGGAAATTTTTCCCGGAATTCCTTAGAAAATCGGAATTTTTCTCGGAACTTTCGGAAATCAGCAATAATTCCGGAAACCTCGGAATTCTTGGCAAAATGAAATGGTAGCACTACAACAACATGCAACATACATGATTTCGCTGCTGACTGCTGATGCACCTTCTCACCACGTCTCTTGAACACGTCTCCCCAAAAAAGATCACCGCATGTGAGTAACGGAAAATTGTTTATCAGGACACTGCCGTGCTAAAGAAAAATACCGTATGAGCCTTCAGGCGTTGCCAAATTTCCCAGGATAAAACGAAAATTTCCTGGTAAAATCATGAATATTTTCCCTCCAATTTCTCAGATAATTTTATTCGTAACTTCACCTAGAGTCCCTAAAAATTTCAAGTAAAAATATTCATAACTTTTCTCAAAAATAAACATTTTATCGAAGAAAATTCGGCAACTGTCGAATGTTTATACGGCGTTCTTCCTTAGCACGGCAGAACATGAATGCAGATAAAAATAAGAGCTTACCATGAGCGGAGGATTGAGCGGTGAAATTGAGGTTCTGGAACTCGATGTCGACGGCGGGACGTTTGGCCTTGTGGGTGAGCGTCTTCATCTCGGCCCGGGTCGGGATCCTGTTGAGGCCCGGCTTCCGGGAGGTGTTGAGGATGGGCACCGTGTTGTTGTTGTTGCGGAGGATGGAGCCCATCTCCAGGGCCTCGTCGAAGTCCCCCAGGTTCTCCTCCTCGTCCTCGCTCTCGGACTCCTCCGAGACCCGCCACTCCACCACCTCGTGCACCTCCGGCCGGAACGTCACCGTCGACACTCGCCGCATCTTCGGATCCTTCTCCTTCTCCTTCTGCTCGTCGCCCATTTTCAAACGGATCTATCGCTCCTGGAGGCTATGCAACCCGGAATAAACGGCGCACTGGGTATGCAACCCGCAATGAACGGCGCACTGCTTATGCAACCCGCGATGAACGGCGCACTGCTTATGCAACCCGCAATGAACGGCGCACTGCTTATGCAACCCTCAATGAACGGCGCACTGGTTATGCAACCTGCAATGAACGGCGCACTGGTTATGCAACCCGCAATGAACGGCGCACTGGTTATGCAACCCGCACCATACACTATCCCTTCAAATTCTCGGGTATGCAAAACGCGTTTGTACGAACAGCGGTTCCCCACACATTAAGCCGTAGAATGAACGCACTAACCGATTGGTCACAGCCTGTGGGGTATTTTCTTCGGGGCCAAGTTTAATTTTGAGAAAACTGAGTATTTTCACGTTGCTGAGTGAATCACTTTACACTGTTCTTTTGATCGATGGTAAGTATTGTAAAAGAAAGTTTCTGGCGCACTGTCAGAGGTACGCAAAATTTCACCGCGGCGAATCGATTTTATTCCGCACGCCCGATTTGCAAGATTTCATCCTTGGTTTCGCGGATTATGCCAGCTGTAAAATGTGACCAGACTTTTAGAAAACTTACGGTAAAATTATTAGATTTCAGTCAACCAAGTTGTTGCCTTGTGATTATGCATGTTACAGTAGATATGCGTTGAATCTTACTGTCTCGCAGAGAGAACTGTATAAAAATGTGAGTTTGAAAATTGCAATTTGAGTTTTTTTTATTATTATTAAAAATTAAATCAAGTTACACTTGAACAGGTTATGCTTTCATCAGTAGGCAAAACTTACTTGACTGGAACCAAACTGCCCTATTCTTTCAACTCTTATTCTTCACTTATTTCTTGTCCCTAATTTTTAAACGACCTCCAACTCTCGAAAAATGCCATCAAGTAATGAATATTATGTAAAAGCAAAATGTTAGGAGGACCCCATTATATTAAAAAATTATTGTGATGAGGTGCCGGTTATTTTTTGATCGAGTGACTGTCATTGGAACGAAGAGAATCTATCTCGGTCGATTCCGAAGTTTCACGATGAGATGCGAAATCTGAAACAAAAAAGAAACGTAAAACTATTAGACCTAAAGAAAAAATTTTGTTATCACAGAATTTATATGAAAAATACAATTTTAAAGATATAATATCAGAGATCCATAAGTTTATCTTCTACTGTAAAAATTACATGATTTTGAGATTTATTGCCATCTATATGATATTCATCTTTCTAGGGGGAAATGTGATTTATATTTTCAAAAAAAACCCAAAGGTTGACATCGTAAAGAGTCATCGCTTTCAATGTAAATCCAATCAATTATTGTATTTATTCAATTTGTAATCGTAATTATTATGTGTATGTATTATTTGTATTTCAGAGAAAATTGTCAAAGTTCTTCCACAGAAATTTGCGTTGATAGAATTTAACTTCGAGAAGTTCGTTTTTGTCGTAGGTCGTAGGAAGGGAAGAAGACCAGGAAAGTACAAAGCATTATTTATAACCACGGAACCACACGCTTGATTGCAAGTTCGCTCGATGAACGCGTCAATTCCACACTGATAATTTTTTCGCATTAATATTCCGAAAAAATTTACTCTCCGTCAACTTCTCGTTCCTATTCGGTGGTTTCTACGTATAAGCACATATTATGAATGTTGATCTGAAGCAGTGAGCAAAGGTTAAATATGCGGCAGAATGGCTTTTTTTTCATCCTATTAAAAACAATAATTTGTTATTCTAACGATTCTCCTCTGTCGCTACGTCGCTGAAATTAGCTTACCCGGAGAATCCTCGCGTCGAACAACATGATAAAATGACGCAGATTTTATGAATGATAAAACTACCGTTACATTTCAGTAACTTCTAGTTTCCGTCTCTAATACGGTTGCTACATTACGGACTGATAAAATCCGAATTTTCCACTCCTTTCCGTTTGCGCTTGAGGAACAAAATGTAATGCGTATATAGTTTTGTTCAAAGTTAGGCTTTCATGTTGAGAAAACTTAAAACCCCTTCAGGGCAGGATTTGCCTATTTGCCGCCCGCGGATGGGCCGCCTGTATTTTGCCGCCCCCTTCTCATTCGTTTTGAAACATCAAGACAAACCATCAAGTGAACGTGCCGGAGAGGGAGAGGTGCATAAGACGCATTTACTTGTGTCGGACACATTTTTTTCCGAAAGCCCTGTCCTCACTACCAGCAAAAGTTCACGGAGCTTTGCGCGCAAGTTAAGCACTGTGTGAACCAATCTCTATGTGGACAAGGCCTTCCATTTATGAGAAATAAACGAAAAAATTATGATAGAACAAACATAAATGTGGTTTGATAATTTTAACTCCCGCTGCATCGCCGGGCTGACCGCACTGCATTTGGCGCAATGCTTGAAGTATTCATACAGTCTTGTAGGCGCTATGCGTTTCACGCCGACCGCTGCTGACCGCACTATGTTTGACGCAATGCGTGAAGTATTCATTCAGTCTTGCAGGCGCTAATATGTGTTACATGCCAACAGCCGCACCGAGGGCTTCTTCTTTTCATCTCAAGTCCTCGGCAACATTGCTCTCTGCGCCGCGCCGTTCCATGCCCGTTTGGTTTCTCTCTCAACTTGACTAATTAAAGGTGCTGTCTCTTGTATCACCGAAAGACGGCGAAATTGGAAATTAATGTACTCTCAGGAAATCAGAGATTTTGTCGCTTTTTTTCGTTTGTAATTTTCTTTTCCGAATCCGATTTTTAATTTATACGCACATTTAAAAAAATTGCAAAATTTCCCGTCCCCTAAATTTCCCGCCATGGGCCGCGGCCCATGTGTCCACCCCCTAAATCCGGCCCTGAGCCCCTGTTTCGCGGTTGTTGCACTTTATAAAATTTTGACGATCTTCAGTTTGGTAGTGAGTTCACCGCTCAACATTCACCGTTTGATGAAATCAAAATTTTCAGACCTTGTCTAGAAAAGACACTTAAACTTCGTGACACATTCGTTGAAACATACCTTTAACAAAATTTGATCGCATATCAAAATATCCGAAACAATGCAATCCGAGCGAAATTTTTTTTCTATTTATTTTCTTTTTTTTCTTTTTTTCTTTTTTTACTTTTCTTGTTTTTCTTTTCTTTCTTTTATTTCTTTTTTTGGAAAGGAAGATGACAGTTCCACTGCACTGAACTTAAACGTTTTGGTCGGACCAATTTTCCGCTCTGCTCCTCTAAAATCTACAACTGCGAAAAACATATAACTTATCCAATGATATCCGTAATATTTCTTCTGTCAATTAACGTATCACATTTTGAACAACTTTCCTGTTGGCTGTTACATTTGAAGAATTAGGAGAGTTTGCACGATTTCCGAAAACATGAAATCGGACGTTCGTGAACTTCGCAAACTCACACTTGCTTTGCACACCTCTAGATGGAAATGCAATCGATGCAACCTTCAGCGGCGCCAGAATAATAAACACCCATAATAGTGAAGGCATTTCTCATAGAATCGGACTCCAAGATGAGTCTTTAATTGCGGGTCTTAGGTGCCCGCGTGCACAGTGAGAGAAGTATGAATATTAATAAAGACGTACATCGCCATTCCGATCTTCTTTTTGGAGCAAGCTCTCACGTTGTAGGATCGAGGGCTTAAAGTTGCGTATTACACTCTGCGCTCCAACTTTGTGTGGTTACAACGTAGCATATCATGGCTCCTCTCCCGACTTTTATTGGTTTCATAATTTACGGCGGGAAAACTTCTATAACGAGACTCATAAAGTCAAACAGACATGAAGTCTGTTTTAAAGCCGGAACAAGCTCCTTTGACGATTTACATATGGGGAATCTTAGTGCAGTGCTGGAGGTCACCCCCGGACCGCTATATGGCCCAACCCCTTACGGTTATCCCGTAAAATTTGCAGTGTTGTTTTTTCTCCGTTTGATTCATTTTAAACAGTTTTGCGCAATGTTGGCAACACTGCATTGCTGTGAGTTTCTTTCGGCAAAATTTACTTAGTTTATTTAACCACCTATAAAACGTTCAAATGGACCGAATTTAACAGAAAGGAACCAAGCCACATCAGCTGTTGGTGTGGCTTGGTTCCTTCCTGCTAAATGCGGTCCAATTGTAAGTATCATGCATACCCATAAAGTTAGTCCATTTTCAAACCTTTACCTGATCAAAGTTCGTCAAAAAGTCGGTCATCACTGAAAAAATGAGGATATCAATCCCAAATGCTCACGTTCTTTTGTCGAGTATCCGACCAATATGCGCACAAAATCGGGTGCGCCCCGGGCTTTATCCCCGAAAGCTCGAAAGCGTTTTCGGGTTCGCGCACGGCGAATCGGACACATGACGAGGTCTCGGAGCGAAAAAAGTTACACAAAATCACGAAAATCGGAACATAGAACGATTCGTAGGTTATGGAGCGAGAGAGAAATGAAAAACTGACACGCTCGCGCCCGCAGGTGCTTAACTGGGGAACAATGGCACCGTATTTTCTCACGCATTGCCGCGTCTCTCGCTGTTGCCGTTCTTCAATTTTTTAAAATTTTAATTTCCTCTTCTTTCCTCAGATTGTTTCATTTTTACAAAGCACTAGGATGACACTTCTAGGCACCACCTGATTCACTAGAAAAAAAAGTCGCTTGGATCTAGAGTTCAGACTCTTAAAAATATTGATAAGAAAAAATACTCATGATTCAATCTGATTCTTCCTTGATTTGAAGAGTCGAGCCTCTTGATTTAGGCGGATTTCCTTTTGATTCAAGCAAAAAGTCCGATTAAAGCAAGAGTATTTTCTTCTTATCTTAAATTAGACGGGCCGTCAAATTTTGATCGGATTGGAGGGCCACCATTCATCATTTCTCGCCACATGTAACATTTCTGCCAGGTTTTCAGTTGAAAACTAGGCGAAGTAACGATTTTAAGACTGATGACTCCCGACACTTTGCTGGTAATTGGTTCAGGAATTTGATTGTGTATCGAGGCCTTAAACTTAGCTGCTTGATGAATTTTGGCCAACGTTTGCATCTCCCGAGATGGGTCGAGAATTTAGGAATTGTTCATCGTTGCTGCGAGCATAAAAATCAAATGTTGTAAGCGCACCGTCGCACAGTGGATCGAGTCAATGGGAAAGGTCGGACAATATTTGGAAACTTTAAACGCTTATAACTCCAATTATAAGAAAAATTTGAGGTTCTAAAAGTGATTCCATTGGATTTTCTCCTAAAATTTGCTTCTAGAAGCACCCCTTTAAATCTAAAATGAGACGAAATGAACATAAAAATTTGCAATTTTAGACAAAAATTTCATGCCCGACTTTTCTGATTGACTCGATCCACTGTGCGTCACTCGCGGGGAATTTCGTTTTGTTGTAACAGAGATTGGGAGTAAGTTAAAAACTCGAGTGAAATCCATTCGCGAAATTTGACGTGAAGAGACGTTATGGTTCAGTTACACGATCAAATTGAGGTATCGAATTGGGCCTCTCGTTGGTCGCATCCTCACCTCTGGTCTTTTTCCACCAATCAGAGCTTCAGTTTGATGGCTCAATTTGATCGTGTAACTGAACC